TCCAAAATCCTGTTGTACTAACAATATAAAAATCTTTTTTATTAATTTTGTATTCATTTTATTAATCACACACAGTATTTTGCCCTCAGAAATTGCTAGTAAATTTCACAAATAATTTAAAAGAAATGGAAAGTAATGCAGTGAATTAAATGTGAAATGTTTAAGTATAAATAGTATTCTTCTAATGAAACACTCCAATAAATTGTTTGATTTACTTTACAGTGTGTGTGTGTGTTATCTATATTAGAGTGTTAAAAACAATAAATGCAGCTGAGATCATTTAATAATTATTTATGAGCATTTATATAAATATTCTCAGGAGACTTTTGAGATGCAATTTCGAGAATGAATGATTCTCTTAAACCCTCTAGAGGAAAAAAAGACACAAATGAGTCGATAATCACACAATGAGACTGTAGAGCTACAAGAGTCAGAAACATCTGAGTCGTTGTCAAGATTATCAAGCCTTTTTCTCCATTTACTCCATATCCATCTAGGAGAAACTATTGAGATGTTAAAGAGATTCTACGCATGATTCTTTCCCGCGGCACATCTGACGGGCGATTAACCTGCGATTGACGAAGCGATGAATTGGACAGATTTATTGCTTTCTCAAGAGTGACGCCTTAAGCTCTTCCAAATGGCACTTATTGTAAATCTGATGTTATTTCACTTGCTAATGCTCACATCCTGTTAATAATACTTTAAAGACAGATGCATTTGCATAACCAGGCGAGACCGGTAGTGTTAAATGCGATAAACTCTAATGTTTGACCGGCGAACCTCGAGAGATTCTGGATCCGAATCAAAACTGATTAGCGCTGACCTTCTCCAGGCCATAACGACGCTAATAACATCCTCTGCTTACACCATTAAGAAATACAGCACATGTTTATCAGCGAAGAAGAGACTTTAATTTAGCGTCTCCTCTCACTCGAGATCCACACGTAATCAGCGAGTGGACGCTGCTACCTTGAATGCTTATTCCTCACTTTCATTAAGACATGTTCTGCCCCGAAGGCCTTTAATCAAAATCCTGAGGCGGTCAATACTTCATCCAGGATCATTTATCACAGCACGGGTTGGAGCAATTACCTTCACGAAGACGGCTATGCGCACACGACGAAGCGATTGAGTCGGGCCATTCTGGTGGAGAAGATTGCTCTAAATAAATACACTGATTCATTACGCCGCTGCGGCACCAATTCAGAGCTCATCTACCATCTTTGCTTCGTTTGGGACTGGCCTGAGTGATTATGCAACTGCATATAGAAATATCTGCAGTACTTCTTGAGTTACAAGCATGCAAACTTTGGATAAACAATGTTTTTGGCACTCAGAAAGAACAAAGTATCAAGGTATGCAAAGTGAACCACGTTTGGTTTTTGACTGAAATTTGTGCAATTTTAGCCACATTGAGATCCTCATATCTCTGGAAATGAATCACACAAGGCTTTGAAATTGATGATAACAAAAGAAATGTTTGTTAAGAATCAAAATCTAAACAGATATGAAGATATCTGCAGTACTTCTTGAGTTACAAGCATGCAAACTTTGGATAAACAATATTTTTGGCACTCAGAAAGGTATGTCTTTAACATAAAAAAGTATCAGGGTATGCAAAGTGAACCACGTTTGATTTTTGACCATTGAAATTTGTGCAATTTTAGCCACATTCAGATCCTCATGTCTCTGGAAATGAATCATACAGGTCCTTGAAAATTAAGATAACAAAAGAAAAGTTTGCTAAAAACCAAAATCTAAACCGATATTGAGATATCTGCAGTACTTCTTGAGTTACAAGCATGCAAACTTTGGATAAACAATATTTTTAACACTCAATGTGTTATGTTCCATGCAGTTGTTTTATTAGAAGGAAACAAGATGCATTTATAATTTCAACATTATTTGTTCCTCAGACACTCTTCTTTAAAAAGAAAAAGAATAAGCTGCATGTAAAGTGATCCACATTTGGTTTTGACCACTGAAAATGGGAAAAAATTCAACAATTTGGACATGGAGTTGCATTGGGATCTCCATATCTCTAGAAAATTAATTATACAGGGCCTTAAAAATGAACATAACGAAAGAAATGTTTGTTAAGAACCAGAATCTAAAAGGAAATTGAAATATATTTAATATGTCTTAAGTTACAGGCACACAAACTTTGGAAATATATATTTTTGGTACTCACACAGGTATGTTCTATGCAACTGTTTTGATAAATAGAAAAAAGTTTCAACATCATTTGTTCTGAAGACATTCCTCTTTAAAAGAAAAAAAGTATCCTTATGCAACGTGACCCACATTCGGTTTTTGACCACTGAAAATGGGAAAAATGCAACAATTTACACATGAAGTCACACTGAGATCCCAATATCTCTGGAAATGAAAGACATAGGGGTTTGAGAATGGAGATAACACAACAAATGTTTGTTAGGAACCAATTGAGTTGCAGGCATGTAAACTTTAACAATCATATATATTAATCGCGATTAATCGCATACAAAATAAAAAGGTTTTCTTTGCATAATATATGTATGTGTTCCATTAACACACACACACACACACACACACACGCATACACACGCACACACACACACACATGCACGCTCACTCACACACACACACACACACGCACGCACACACACATGCACGCTCACTCACACACACACACACACACAAATATATACATATATTCACTCAGAAAAGTAATAGAACATTTATTAAAGAATGCAAAATAACGCAGATTTGGTTTTTAAAAATTAAGATAACAAAAGAAAAGTTTGTTAAGAACCAAACTCTAAAAGAATAATGATATATCTTTAATACTTCTTGAGTTATGGGCATGCAAGCTTTGGAAAAATAATATTTTTGGCACTCAGGCGATTATGTTCTAAGCTTTTGTTTTGATAGAAGGAAAAAAAATATTTATAGTTTCAAGATTATTTGTCCTTCAGACATTTCTCTTTAAAAGAAAAAAGCATCAGCTCTATGTAAAGTGACTCAAATTTATTTATTTATTTTTAAATTATTAGTGTAAATTGAAAATAGGAAGAATGCAACAATTTGCACAAGCAGCAGATGAGATCCCAATATCACTGAAAATGATCCCTAAAAATGAAGACACCAAAAGAAAAAAAAAAGTTACAGGCATAGAGACTTTGGAAAAATATTATTTTTGGAACTCAGAAAGATACTATAAATCTATAAAACTTATTTTATACTAGTTGCCAAAGCAGCTTTTCTCATTTTGATTCGGTTCAACTTGACATGATACAATAACTAAACTAAAACTGAAATACAAATTAATAAAACTATGTAGACATATAAAAAAAAAATACAAAAAGCAACAAAAATGCTAAAATTAAAACTGAAATAAAAACTAATTCAGAATATTACTATAAACAATAATTTATCTACATTACTGTAAAATACTATAAAAAATATTGTCTCTCAATGACACTAAAAGAGCACCGATTAAAATATTTCTGCACTGAAATGTATGATTTTTGTGATGTGTTCAGTGATAATGTTGGCAGGGAAATAAAAGCCAACAACCAAGGCATCAGGATCAGTCCTTGTTGGGTTTAATCTATGTTAAAGCTAAAAGCCTCTCAGAATAATGCGAATCAAGCAGCGTGACTTCAATAAGCATGTGGAGGGTCAGAATCGAGCCGCGCTTCTCTGTCAGACGCTTCACAACAGTGACGGCTCAGACTGTGAGTTTAATCAAACGCACTGCGATCTCCTGCTGGAATCTATAGCCGTCATT